GCTCATGAACGCTGAGATGGTGGGGCAGATGGAGCATCCCATGGGAGTGTGGGGGGCGAAGGTCCCCCATGTGTTCGGCAGCAGACCTGGAAGTGCAACAGAAGTACTTCTGGTCCACTTCCGGGTCCGCCGCAGAGCACATGGGGGATCCCCCCGCTCCCTGGCTTGGCGACTGGTGCCTCCTGGGTCTGGGGGGGTGTACCTGGGGTTCTCCCACATCCGATCGCTGAGCTGAGGAGGTGCAGGGGATGGGTCCCCCGCGCACTTGGAGGCAGGCCCAGAAGTGGGCCGGAAGTACTTCTGTTGCACTTCCAGGTCTGCTGCTGGGCACTTGGGGGACACCCCCCTCACTCCCACGGGATGCTCCATCTGCCCCACCATCTCACGTTCATGAGCCATGCTGGTACCTCAAGGTACATAGAAAAAACATATAAAGCTGTGTCTATGGCCAAAATCACTGATTCTCTGAATCAGAATCGAATCTTCAGATTTAGCTAAATCGAATTTTGACAGTGAACTGAATCAGCGATTCAAATCACTGTCCCCTGAATTGGGTTGAATCAAATCAAATAGTGCTTGCTTTGCACACCCCTACTGAACAGGTGTGTTTATGCATTGTCTCTGTCTATGCTAGACAAATGCTAGCAGGAAGACACTCTGTTTGTGTTATGGTAGAGCCTGGGGCCCCACTCATGGTTCAGAGCCTTGTCATGCCGGGCCCCAAGGAGCTGACAGTTTCAGTAACATTTTGCAAACCATCGCGTCAATGTATAGTGCTCTCACACTAATGAAATAACTTCAGGTTTTAAATGTTCACTGATGAACCTTGTGGTTACATTTCAGATTATTTTGTTACTTTTCCTCCAGTACAGTGTACACAAAGACCAAGAGTTTAAGAATACCTAGAGGATTTGGATATGTAGTTTCCACATATTTTAATGGGAATCAAACATTCAAATTGCATTGGTAGTTGAGAAAACCTTAGCCACCAGTGTCTTATAAATAAATTATATACCCAGTCACATGCACAGAGTATATTAAGTGTCATGATTTTATGCAGCATTAATTTGATGCTAAAAGGCTTTTTGGGGTCATATTCTGCCTTCATCTCCCATATACCTCCAGAACTTCAGTGGCAGTTTCAATTGCTGTAAAATTATACTGCAGTCCATAAAGGCTTTTATACCAGGTCCTTAATACTAGCAATCAGAAAGCAAAATTATACAGTCCTGATAGGTAGATTCTTTATTAAATAAACAACTCTGGGTGTGTCTATACACCTCCCTATGGTGACATTACTGCACCATGCTTTAGTCCTTCCAAAAGGAAATACTAAAAGGATGTACAAAAGGAAGTACTAAAGCACGGCACAGTAACTGCCTATACTGTGCCATGCATGCGGCATATGGTTAGTTTTAGCCACTACTTTGTCGTAGCAGCACACTAAAACAGGAGCATGCTAAATACAGCAAAATAGTTGCTGATCATGTGTAGACTCATGTGATTGCTGTGTCATCATAGCATGTTGTGTGGCAACCGCTATGACAATGTAGGGTGACACGTAGATGCACCCTGTGAGTACTTGTTAACAACTTGATTGTATGAAGTTAAGTTTTATGCACTAAAGAGGGCCTGAGTAATTCTGGACACTTCACTTAGAGGAAAATAAGAGATCTCTGAGTAGCAGCTTCAGGGGAACAGTTTCTGATGTGTTAGTTAAAAAGTTTTAGAATTAGATCCTTGCTCAGTGAAAAGCAGCTTATAATTGTATATTTTAAAGTACACACTAGAAATGTAGCTGTGATTTTTAATACTTGCTCATTAGTCTTTGTTGCTAGAACCAGATGAAAAAGGTAAAAATACACAAGTACTAAATTCTGAATATTTTACAAATTTTATTTGTAACAGGTGAGAAAAAGGAAATAGAACTCATTGTTATATTAATTTAGTGTTGTTACTGTTTGCAATCATTTAGAAATAAAAGTAGCATTACAGGTGGAGTATAATGGAAGACAGCATAAAAATGTGTTAGTAAGATGCAAAGAGTGGTAGGTGATATGGTTTGGTCACTTTTGGTTTCTGAACAAGCATGTTTGAGGAAAATATAGCCAAAACTTTAACATTTTTACTACTTCCTCATGGTTATGATTATTTGTCTGAGAACATCAATGTTATGCTACTAGTGTTATGGACTGTACCAATACATTTGTTGGCAAACAAGAAGAATTCCAGGAGGTGATCAGCATATTTCCAGGTAATATACTGTTCTGAAGGTATTTTAATGGATTTTTCAGTAGAAATATGAAATGATCTGTTAACCATGCATACTTCTCAAAATGCAAAATAGATTTTGAAGCAAGGTAGACATTGTCATGTTATAAGAAATCTGCTTCTTATCTCTGTACAGATTTGAAAATGAGTAAAAAATACAGTAAAGGACAGGGAAGAATGTGTTGGCAACTCTTCTTTGATCCATGTCTTAAGGGTAGAATTGATTGACACTGTGCATCTATTCCTGGCCTAGGTTGCCGAAAGGATATTTGCATAAAAGAAATGCCAGCTGTCATGTCATCAACTGTCACCTCCTGATCTTTTTTTCCTTTCCAGCTCCCATATCTTACAGAACAGGTGTACAAGTTGCTAAAATAGCCCAATGTGCAATAATGGCATCTTAGAAAGAAACAGTAATTGCTAGGTCTAGTGCATATTGCATGGAATGGGTGACAAGCATTGATTAAGCCTTGATGAATTTGCACTATTAGGTAACGATGACCACATGCATTGATATTAATGGAAAAATAAAAGTCTGCAAGGAAAGGCCTATCGTATGTGCCAGGAGATTCTTGGTAGAGCACTGGGACCTGTGCATCAGTAGTGGCGTCCTCTAGAAAACCCTGCCTCCTCATCCTCAGCTGGTATCCACTTCTAAACTCCTGTGTTCCAAATGCATATTCAGTTCTGCTAGTGATATTTTGATCCAGCAGAGAATTCTCCACAAGGCAGTCCTTGTAGAGAAAGAGTATGTCCAGAGGTGACCTGAGCAGGGTGCGGGGCCCGGGGCAAATCAGCCCATGCAAGGCCCTGCCCCCAGTCAGATCCCTTGGTCCCTGGGCCTGAAGAAGCTGCCACTGCCATTGGCAGCAGTGGCAGTGTGTGGAGGGGGAGGAGTAGCTAGTGGCTGGATGTGGAGCCACCACTCCACCCAGCTCCACGCCGCCACAGGGCCCCCCAAAGCAGGGGGCCAATTCGCTCCCCCACCCCTATTAGGGATGGCCCTGAGTACATCTTGTGCTCAACAAATAATTTTGGAAAACATCCCACATTGTACATGTAATCCTCAAATTTACACTTCAGAGGACAAGGCTGAATGGGAATTTGATGAAGGTTATGTTAACTGTTGAGTCCTTTTTTTGCCTTTTATGTAGAAACTAAGGCGATGTCCGTAGAGAAATTCTCCAGTATCTTTCTGGCATAGACAACAGGATGTTATATGCCAAATGTGTGTGGTTTTACTTGTGCCACGACTGGATTATATTGCTAGACAGCCCAAAAAAGAGAGCCAGTTTGTCCATTGCACCATTCCAAAAGTAGTAATAATACTGTAGTTAATAATAATACTGTGATGCCTTATTGTGTTAGATACCATATAATTAACCCCTATAAGAGAGTTAAGTCCCACCGCAAATGTTTATAGTCTAAAACCACAGTGTGAAGAAAGGTTGGGAGAAGATACAGGGGTGTAGTAATTAACCCAGGTCACACAGCAGGTCAATGTGAGAGTCAAGAATAGAACCTAGAGCTTAATACCCAGTTTGGGAAGTAAGTACCAGATGAGGTTGCCAGTTAACCCAAGACCAGCACTGTAAGTGCAGGTGGGAAGAAGGAGCTTAATGGGTATGTAGATTCTGGTCTAAATCTACTCTGTCACTTACCAGATATTATAACATTTCCTGATTTTACAAGCAACAACTGTATGATGAAATTGGAAAAGGAAGTATTTTGTGGATAAAGGGCAGTAGTTACACAAAGCCTGGTATTACAGCTCCAACACGTCTTTAATGCTTAGAAGCTTAACTGTTCACCAGCAATCAGTCAATGGCAAAAGGCCAACAAAGCACTCAGAATTGCTGCATGTTTGTCACTGCCTTGGAGACTGTAGCTTTTGTATTAATGGAGTTAAGCAGCTATTTAAGACCTGATTCATAAAAGCTTTATGTGCCACTGAACTCCAATGGGATATTTTAGCAGTTTTCTGAAAGTGAATAACTTACTTGGCTTCTTGACTTAGGGCAAAAACAGACAAATTCTGCTGAGTTAAAAGGGGAATGTTCTATGATTCCATGATTTACCACATACAAATTACTTTAATAGAATCATAGAAAATCAGGGTTGGAAGGCACCTTAGGAGGTGATCTAGTCCAACCCCCTGCTCAAGGCAGGACCATCCCCAACTATATTATCCCAACCAAGGCTTTGTCTAGCTATGTCTTAAAAACCTCTAAGGATGGAGATTCCACCATTTTTCTGCGTAACCTGTTCCAGTGCTTTACTATCCTTCTAGTGGGAGAGTTTTTCCTAATATCCAGTCTAAACTCCATTTGCTGTAACTTTAGATCATTGCTCCTTGTCCTGTCATCTGCCACCACTTGGAACATTCTAGCTCCACCCTCTTTGGAACAAGCCTTCAGGTAGTTGAAGGTTTCTATTAAATCCCCTCTCAGTATTTGCTTCTCCAGACTAAATAAGCCCATCTTCTTCCACCTCTCCTCATAAGCCATGTGCCCCAGTCCCCTAACCATTTTCATTGCCCTTTGGATTTTCTCCAGTTTGTTCACATCTCTTCTGTAGTGGGGGCCCAAAATGTGACACAGTACTCCAGATATGGCCTCATCAGTGCTGAATAGATGCATAGAATCACTTTTGATGTGCTGGCAATGCTCCTACTAATGCAGCCCAGTCTGCTTTGAGCATTCTTCACAGCAAGGGCACACTATTGGCTCATATTCAGCTTATTGTCCACTGTAACCCCCGAGTCCTTTTTTGCAGATATGCTGCTTAGCCAGTGGGTCTCCAGCCTTTACTAGTGCCAGGGGTGACTGGTGCCTCTTGAATCTGGGGGGGGCGGGGGCACACAATTTGTGGGTGGGCCCAGGGGCCAGCCAAAAGCACCATATCCACTCCTATACTGCTGTGCTGTGGCTTAGTGCCCCCCCCCCCCCAAAAAAAATGCTGCCAGCCTGCGCGGCAAAACAACTGCCCTGTCCTGAGTGGTGCAGAGTTGGGGGCCAATCTCGGGGGGGGGGGGCATATGCCCCCCCCGTATCACCCCTTCCAGTCACCTGTGACTAGTGCATGGGATTGTTCTATGCTAAGTGCAGGACTTTGCATTTGTCCTTATTGAACCTCATGAGATGTCTTTTGGTCCAGTCTTCCAATCTGTCAAAATCTCTCTGAATCCTAGCTCTAGGCATCAGTGTATCTACTAATGTCCCCAGCTTGGTGTAGTCCTCAGTCTTGCTGAGGGTGCACTCCATCTCATCTTCCAGATAATTGATGAAAATATTGAACAAAATTGTCCCCAGGACCGACACCTAGGGCACTCCACTTGATACCAGCTGCATACTAAACATTGAGCCATTGATTACTACCCTTGGAGCCTGCTGATCAAGCCAGTTTTCTATCCACTTTACAGTGCATTCATCCAACTACAATCTGTTCATCCACCTTACGGTCCATTCATCAAAGCTACTTCCTTAGCTTGCTTGCAGGAATGCAATGGGAGACCATATCAAAAGCCTTACTAAAGTTAAGGTATATCATGTTTACTGCTCTCTCCACATCCATAGAACCAGTCGTCTTATCATAGGAGGCAATCAGGCTGATCAGGCACAATTTGCCCTTGGTAAATACATGCTGGCTGTTCCTAGTCACCTTCTCTTCCTCCAAGTGCTTAGAAATGGATTCCTTGAGGACGTGCTCCACAGACTTTTCTAGGGAATGAGGGTGAGGCTGACAAGTCTGTTCCATGCATCCTCCTTTTTCCCTTTCTTCAAGATGGGCACTTTATTTTCCCTTTTGCAATCATCGCCAAATGTTGTCAAAATAATGACCAGTGGCTCTGCAATCACATCAGCCAACTCCCTGAGTGTGCTTATTCTATGGTAACTCTTTTGTATGTCTGTTCCTAAGATCCAGAAAATGAAAACTTAACTAGGGTAGCTTTTTCCTTAATGAACTTGGGGTAATCTGCCCTGATTTACATTTTACTTTCTGTAGCATAGAACCTGACACACATAAGAGTTTGCAGAGAATAGCTGACATACGGAAAGTTCTCTCCCTCTACTACTTGCTTGGGTATGATTTGTTTGTGTATTTATACTCTCAAAGGAATAAAATGCCACATCTTTAACTACTATTAAATGTTATTGCCATTGCAGTTGGTGATGTTTGCCATCCTAGTCTGGAGCACTGAAATAAACTTTGGATTGTGAAAAGAATTATCTTCATGGATAGAAAATTGCTCTATTAAAGAGGACACAGTGCATACGTATAAAAATTGCAGAGGTGAGATGTTGAACTGTAAAAATATTTCTTGGGTAAGTGATGCAAAAAACATGTTAATAAATGACAAATTCACTTGTGTTGAAGAAATCTAATCACAATAATTTATTTCTGGAAATAAATATTAAGGAAAACAGTTTGGCAGAATACAGAGGGGAGATAGTAGGATGTGAGCTAAATTCAGAATTGGCAGAGATGAATGCAATTCCATTGATTTCTTGAGGGTAGTAATCACCTATGTCAAGTGTGAATTAGGTCCCAAACTACATAAAGGACAAACATGACCTTTTACAGCTTTCTTACCAGACTTGTCAGAGACTTTCACTCTCTTCTTTAGTCAACTCAGGAACTTTGCAAAACATTGATAATAAAATCCAAAGTCTTGACCTAGGTTCAATATTTTTTAATATTTTCCAAATAATAAGTATTTAAAAAGAAGCAAAGCTGTGTACTTCTGTATTGCAATTAGACTGATTTTTTTTTTTTTTTTTCTGTTCCATCAGTAACTAGAGAGGATGTTATGCAGCAACTATTAAAGCTGAATGCTTTTCATTCTGGAGACCTAGATAATTTGCACCAAAAAGTATTGTTAAGAAAAATGGCTGTGTGGCTTTCTGATCCAGGAAGGTTAATTTTTAATTCATCATTTTGAAACTCAGAAGATGGGAGAGAAGCTCATGCATTGCCAGTAGTTTAAAAGGTAAAGAAGATCATATGGGTAACTATGGGCTGGTTAGCCTGACAATGATCCAGGAAAGACTGATATGGAATTTAGTCCATGAAGATTTAAAGACTGTGAGCCAATAAAGAATTCCAAGTAAATAAATCAACATGGTTTGATTGCAAACAGTTCTTGTCAAACTTGTTACCAAAGTTCATTGATAAAAGTTATAACATAATAGTCTTAGAATGCAGGGCATCTAACTTTGTGCTATGTGACATCCAATTAAAAATTAATAGCAGTGTACAAAATCAGCGGATTCTTATTATGGATTAAAAACTGGTTAACTGATATATAGCAAAGTGTAACTTAAAATTGGGAGTTACTATCCAATGGTGGTGTTCTTAATGAATTACTATATATGACCCAATGCTATTCATTATTTTTAACCAGCGATTTGGAGGATAATAACAAGGATTTAATGGCAAGATCTAAAGTTTACACCTCCTACCCCCAAGTTGGTGTGGTAAATAATAATGAAGATTGGTCAGTTATATAGACTAATGCATATCATGCATTACAAGTGCTTACAAGTATATTATTAGTTTTAGGGTCCAATTTTGTGAAGTACTAAATGGTCTCAATTTCACCCTTGACTGTTGACTTCAATAGTATCATATGACTTATGTCGATTTGTTGTTGTTGCTTCCCTCCATCTATGTTCAAAACATGGGGGCTGCCCCTCTGTACCATCAATTAGAGATTCTTAGTACTTTCAAGGCCCTTAAGCTATAAACCTTGCCAGGGCTGCTGGGGTTGTCTGATTAGCAATACATTTAATTAGAGTTTAACATTTTATTTTTTTAAATTAAATTGAATCGAATTGAATTTTATTTTATTTTATTTACATAGTAGTATTGGTAGTAGGCAACAGTTGATCCTTTGGATCAGGGCGTACATGTAATAGGTCTAGTCAGATACCTGATGAATCCATTTGTGGCTGGCAAGCCCAATTCGAGAGTGACAGCTTTTTACAAGTTTCACAGATCCATGTGCTCTCTAAGTTGGAGTCCAAATTTATAGCGTGCTTCATTCTTCTTATTCACTTTACTTCCATCCTCTAGATCATAGCGGTTTCATGTTGAGCTGCGCCCAGTACCAGCCGTTCCCTCCAGATCGGATGGGATTCTTTGCACTCCTCCCAGATTTCTACACTGATGTTGAACTACTTCATACAATTTTTGCACACATTATAGTACCGTCATACAGGGTGACCCCACTTTCTAGAGCTGTCTCATGTCTCACTGTACAACATATTCTTGGCGATATGGTCTCCCATTCTCCTGACATGGCTGATCCATGTAGGTTTCTGGCAAATTAAAATATGTCCTTCCCTGACTATTCACTCACTGACTAGTACAGGTTTTGGATCAGGCCCTTGAAGCTTTTCTTCTAGAATATGCTTTGGACACTATAGTAAGTCAGATCTTTATCCAGGAGAATAAGAATCATTTTGGGATTTCATAACATACACCTAAAATATTTAAAAGACAATTTGTCATTTCAGCTTACAACCCTCTGTAGGCAAAACATCTCCTTTGGTTCATTGACTGGAAAGAGTCTTCATTCTTGCTAGTTCAGCAACCTGTATTGTTTAAGTCTAAGTCACAGTCTGGTGGGAATAAAACATAGTTGTTTTTACGTTATAGTTTCTTGCCTTTGAGTGTAATTGCAATTATGTTTTGTGGTTATAACAAATACTCTGAATGTACTATGAGGAAGCAGGAGGGAAGGGAAAACCTGCTGCATTGCAGTCCGGAACCTATTCCCAACTCCACTTATAATTTACTTACTATGAGTTCTGCAAAGTATTCATAAAACAGCAGCGAGTCTCATTTACTAACACAACAGGGTTGCATGTAATTAGAAGTGTCTTAAAATGGACTTTTCCCCCCATAGATCAATTGTTCTTGCTATAAGTGTTGGTAAAACAACAAAAACAGTTTTTCATTGTAAAGTAAACTGTACAACATGTCTGGCCCTTTTTCTGAAAAAAGGCGCACTGGAACTAAATGGGAGATCTCCAGGGATCCAGTGCTATTTTGGGTTCTCTGGCTCTCATCAAATCAGATGGTTCTGGAAATAAATTCCCTTCCTCACAGCGTAGCTGGTAGCAATAAGCATAGCTCCATGGAGATCATGGATCTGTGCTGATACGTTGATGCTCCCAGATAATTTTCATATCACACTCATTTTACTTAGATCTAATACTGTCAGCTTCAGTGGGGTGTTTCCACTCAGGAGGTTGAAGAGGAAACCAAAATGAATATTCCTATAATCTTTCATTTTGGAAACACCAAAACATGTGCCTCTGAACAAAGCATGCTCTGTAGGATCTCTGTCTGTCTGTCTTCCCAGGGGGTTAATGAGGAGCTGGGGAAGTCCTTGTGTCCTACCACCAATGGCACCAAATGGTATGGGTGAAATTGATGAGACTCTTGTCAGAGTAAAGTGACATTCCTGTCAGTTTTGCTCTACTTAGTGTTGGCAAGAAATGAAACTAAAAAGAATTATTCAGCCCACAGCCTCCAGGGTTCCCTGCCTCATGTCAGCTTCCCTAGTGGGCTGCTGGGGAACCTGAGGCCTGGGAAGCCCTGACCTCTCAACCTGGGTGGAGTAGTTGGGAAGGCAGGAGCTTGAAGGCTCAGTTTCTTCTTGAGGGAGATTTTTAATCAAAGGATGAATAAAATTCTACTGGTAGCAGCACTGGGAAGTGTCATGGTGAGTGTTTTAGTCTGTAAGACAAGATGTTTTATGGCATGTCAGACTATACATTATAGTACCTTCCTGCAGTTCTAGGGTCTTTTGTTGCACTTTCTGTCTCTAGTGCTCCTCTCTGTGTTTCCATAGTTTTTCTTTCTTTTTTCCATTCTGCTGCTAGTAATTCCTTTTCCATGTTTCTATTGAGGCCCTCACTGATTCAGTTTTCCTATCTATGTTTGACCTCTCTACCTTTGTGGTTACCCTTTCCTGAACAATGCTGCCTGTTAAGGTCAATTTGCCATGCTACTTGTCCAGAAGCTATTTCCATTTACCAAAGACTTCATCTTTCTTACCCCACATTGAGACCTACCAAATATGGTGCCAGTAAATTTCC